TAAAGGGGAAGGGAACTTGGACTGGGTGGAGGACGGTCGGGGGTGGACCGTCACATCGTGAGTACTCACTACCACTGCGTGTCGTCTCGTCTTCCAGTCGCCTTGCGCCAGCTTCCTGCGATACCGTAATCTCGGGCCACGCCCATCCAGGTCGTGGACCCGACAAGTGAATCTAGATCTAACAGAGACTAGTTGTTGTTCTCCTAAACTCAACAGTTCTTTCCCTCGAGAGCTCTCTAAAACTGAGCGAGTCAAAAGTGTCTCCAAACCACATGTCAAACGGAAATTTTCGCGCGCCAGACATCTAACAAAGCCCTTCTAACAGCGGTTTTGTGCACAGAATACCGAAGATAGGATGTAGATATCTTCCTGCGTCGAAATCCAACGCTGAGTGGCAGAACTTTTAAAAATGGTGGCACCCCACGGGATATAACCCCTAAAACAAAAGATGCACTTGAAGTGTTCAAGTTTCCGGTTGCACCTCAGGTTTCATGTTTCCTAATCTAAGCAGAAGCAGATCTCGAAAATATTAACTGTGATTACGCACAAAAGCGATAATCTTGCAAAAAAAACGCTCTTATTGAAGTATCCTAATTCAAATGAAGTTAAAGGGACGCGTGGTCCCACAACGAAGTGGACGACTTGCGGACCGTAAAACTCGTCCGGCCGTTTTTCCGGGTGTAGGTTTAGGCGGCAGTTGAAAGCGAGAACATCCGCAGCACAAAGACCTTCTTACCCACCCCGGCGCTTGCTACCCCGAGTTTGCTCACATTCTCATCTCGGCTCGAACTTGTTTCTTTTCATCGTTCATCTTCTATTACCAACAAGAAAAACGATAAAAGCGTAGGAACGAAACCACGAGAATCTGTAGCTTCAAAGAGCCATTGCAAAGTTTGGGTTGTTGTGATCGAGAGCTGCACTAAAATGCTCATACCGGAACGCGCTATTTTTAAAGTTTTAAAAGCTTATTGTTGTGAAAAAATCTTTGCATACATAGATGGCACCGCCAGCAGTTCGTCTGAGTGATGCCGAAAAAACGACGCTGATCAAAATCGTGAAAAGCTACCCGTCCATATGGGACCACACGGACAAGCAGTACAAGAATAACAGTGCGAAACGTCTTTGCTGGATGAATGTTTCCATCGACATGGCGCAACACTTCGGACGTGACTACGATGGTAAGACTACGAGCGATTTTATTTTTCTTTAAAGTGCCATGATGTTGAATACAAATTCCTTTTTCAGACGAGTTCCTGCAGAAAATATATCGAAACTTGAAAGATGTTTATCAAAGAAAAAGAAAAGAGGTGTCAAATGTCGAAGCCACCGGAACACACCGAACTACGGCGTGGCCATTCTATTCAAGTTTTGCCTACCTTGGAGCCTTGCTAAAAAAGGGCCCAATCGAAAGGTTCGGACAAGATTATAAACCAGTATAACGACAAGAGAGATTCCAGAGGTCGTGAATCCCGTCCTAGGCCGCGTTCATAGCTTGCGTTCGTGAAGAAATGCAGAAGTGCCGAAAGTGAAAAGTGCGGAATCTGCAGAAATGCGGAAAATCGATACGTATCTATTGCTTTTCTGCAGATTCCGCACTTCTGCACTTTCCGCACTTCTGCATTTTCCGCATTTCTGCATTTCTTCACGAACGCAAGCTATGAACGCGGCCTTAGGACAACGAATCCGTTTTTTCTCTGCGTTTCGCTCTCGAGGTCAGGCACCGGACGGGAGAGCATGCGCTGGGGCGGCTACGTGACATCTTGAACTTTTGTGCATGGTCCTGTTACGAAACCCTGTGACGCAGACGGATAGAGGGCAGCGGCTGCCAAAGCATCGAAACGTGCAAAAAATGGCGAGCCAGGAAACGGGATTTTTCAAGGGGAGGGGACTCCGGGGTGGGTGAGCTACTTATAGTCGGTGAAAAGCTGGAGTGAGCGAAGTCACAACGGCCATAGAGTGCCATGCGGACGGAGCACAGATTCCAAAACTGCGCGTAAAATTTAATGTGCCGACACCGTGAAGTCACACAGTTGGGCGCACCGTAACTCCTCCGCATCATTAATTATCCAATTCGAGACAGTTATTAGCTCATACGCCCCGTCCCGCCATGTCGCCTCTGGCGCTGGCTGGTTTATATACGTTTCAGAAAAGACTCGGCCTTGACGCGTATGTGGGGTACTGTAAACCTCCTTTTATCCGAATCCCATTATATAAAGTTTCTGGAATGACGGAGTCTAAAAAACTTCTCAAAGTGTGTACCATCTTTTTAGAATGTGACATGAAACATTTTGGTGCTAATAACCTTGGGGTGGCCACACCTGTAAGCTCATGTCAGCATATCAAATTTTGTGAACTGTATACACGTGAATGTTGGATAACTTTGTCAACATCCTGTGAGCCTTGTTATCATCTGTTAAGCACCCTGTAATTTCTGTCCAACATGTTAAAATGACTAGTCAAAATTGGGAATAAAGGAGAATTGACGTTTCGATGGCCGTATCCTTTGTAAGCTTGACATGAGTTTACGGGTATTTGACAGGAGCTTATAGGACTTTGAGAAGGGGATAAGGATGTGAAAAGACAAAAAAGACAAAAACACACGTAATAGTGTGGAATCTTAAGGATATTGGCGCGGGTATTCCTTTTAGAAGGAGTTTGCCAACATACACCATACATTGCATTAAAGACAGCTCCCGCGATAAAAGTGTCAAGGATAATTGCTGATCAATTATGAAACAGTAGCTGATAAGTAATTCCTCAATGAAGGAAAAAAGCAACAAGAGCCCTCAAGAACACCACAAACAAAATTGCTCCCTTACAGTTACACCGCCCTGCGTCCGTCAACCCCTTGCTCACAAATCGCTTTCCTAGTAGTGGGCAACATACATTGCAAATAAAAGAATACGAAAAACAACAAAGACACGAACGAAAAACACTTAAAAAGAAAAATTCAAAAACTTGGCGTCCGAATTTGGGGTTACGTGCAGTGTGCAGCTTTTAGTGCATGTCGAGCTTTTGCACCACAAAAATTGCATCACTCGTGATTTTTACGCGTTTTACCTTGGGTTGCAGTTGACTGTATGTGCTCCCAATGAATAAAATGTAATAAAGGAGAGCAGAATTATTTATGGGCACGAGCGCGGTCAGCAAAAAGTACATGCAGTTCCGATTAATGCCCGCCGTCCCAACAAAGAACAACTGAGCGGCTCTCCGTCAGAGGGCATCTAGCAAGTGGGCGGTCCAACTGGGCGGGCGTTAGAACTAGAGCGGCTGTAGCTCGCTCCTCGCTCACTGTGGAGTCGCGAGAGTGGGATAGTCTCTAGCTTGGGGCTGAACTACCTGCACAAGGAAGGACGACCATGTACTACTTGAGCGCGGGTGCTGTCTTTAACAGCAGATGGTGTGATTTTCAGCTACCAAGATGGACCACAAGTTAAGTCCGAAGAGCCAGAATGTGATGAGGCTGAGGAAGACAATGTTGAAGATACAGTAGGTGTTCACCATGCTTGCAGCTTTGATTTCCGTCTGGCTTACATAAATTACAGTATTCGAATTCGGAGTCTCCACAGATGAGTGCATCATCGCTGATCAGAAGTGATCTCAGTCTCCATGGACCGGAGGACCAGCACTGGCTGAAGAAGAGGAAGTATTGTGAAGGTAATGCATTTGTAAATATGATTCTAATCAGCTTTTTGCCACTCGACTGCAAAAACGCCTAATGAGGTATGGGATTGCATACGCATACCTCATTTTTTTGCACCATTTCTCCTACACTACCTTGATGTTCACTACATATAACAAATATTTCAAGTACTAGTTGGGAGGGACTACTCGAAAACTCCTCCCTCTTTACCCTCTCCATGAAAAGGCTAAGGCTTAGAGCGCAGACGACCAGAGTCATCGATGCACAGTCCCGCAAGGAAGACATGGTCTCAACTAAGCGCGTCGCGTTTGGTGGATATCAAGACGGTGGCAAGTGCCCCCCCCCCACCCCAGTTGCGCACTGTTTCTGTTCTCCAATTGAAAGTTCGTATCTAAGTTCCTTTCCGAGAGGGATAGGATGTTTGGTTAGTCCTGGCAAAAGCTAATCCGTGATTTGACCTTCTGGACCACGCACGGCTCTGGCGTGACCCTTGTTTTGAGCTTACTTGACAGAGTTAATAATTGAGAAAACATAGGTTTCATTATATCACTGTTACGTTTCAGATGTCGAAATGCAGAAAAAAGTCAGGCAGAAACGATACGAAAGGATTGATCGCTATGATGCCCTAGGTACCGGGCTTTTCAGTGGAAACAGTGGAGTATTACTTGTTTCATCTTATCATTTTCAAACGTCTTTAGGTACCCTCATTGCTGTACATTTGCGGGAATTGGACGAACTTGATCCTATAATGGCTGAGGAATTCTTGCTGAAAGTCAACTCACTTCAGTTCGACGTGGCAGCGAAAATATTGGAAGTGAAGCGAAGGAAAACATGAGTTCTCTTGAAGCTCAATGAACTTCTTGTGTCTCACTTGGTGCCTGTTTAATAAATGTGAAGCTGTACTCTCTGCGAACTGCCATCTATTTGTTAACTATTAGGTTGTCCCAAAAGTTCGTGACACTTTTGAATTTTTTTCCTAGTCAAGTTTATTCCAGTGAAAAGCAATTCTGATCAACCTTATGTATGTTACCTTCATCGACGACCCCTTGCCAACTACCAAGCAAAGTGTCTTCTTGCCTTTCCCGGAAACCTTTTTGGTTTCATGCTGAGTAAGCCAAGTGGGTCATTTTTTAGGTGTTTTTGAAAATGGTATACTTCACCCAGAAGGCGAGCGCTGGAGGATTGTGAGTTCAGATGGCACTCAGAAGGAGCTAAGTCGGGGCTACGCGAAAACTGCTGTGGAATTTCCCAATTAAATTGTAGGATCTCGAGAAGTTCATTTTCGAAACGTGTGACCCTGAGCTCTGGTGGAGTAGGCGAACATTACTTGGGGGGACTAAATGGTGGAGACTTTCATCCCCCCTCCCATGCAGTTGATTACAATAAGGTTCGCTCCTTACCACAGCGCTGAGAAGAAGAAATTCCCTCCAAGGAAGAGAGAAGAAACCCCACCACATACACAGTCTCACCGCCCTACTGGATTGATAGGATTGCGCGACCGGTTCTGCCCTTTCTGGGGATCTAGCCACTGGCGCTTCCGGGAGTGATTCACCTAGAGACACCTACTCCATATCCAGCTACAACGCTGTTCAACTAGTTCAAACGAGCGGGAGAGAAGTTGTAGACAGTACCCACAAGAGCTCCCCTTGGAGTGTCGGTCAACTCATGAGAAAAATTTTGACCGAACTTCAATAGTTTCTTAATACGCTGACGACATTCTGAGCCACCGGTGGCTCATAAGTGAGTGGCCACGTGTTTCTGGTCACTTTTCGGATTATTGCCGGCAGACTTATTCGATCTTTCTTCTTGCTTCCGAATAACCTGTGAAAGGTGAATGTCCAACAGGGATGAGCAAGAAAAATGTTGCTGCCTCATGGGATATTTTGAATTAAAAATTGAAATTTTTCAACTAGCTACTGCTGCGGCAGAAACCTCCAAAATAGTTCTTTTTGGACGGAACCTTGGCTGCAGGGACTGCGCGGGCTTTGATCATGAACGTGAGATCTTATTTGTCGTTGGCGCCATATGGCGCCAGTAGGCGCCATTTCAGGCGCTAGCAGTCTTTTTGGCACCGAATGCGATAGATAGAAACCTCCATAGCTAGATTATTTGACATCCTTGTCACGAATATCGTTGCCCTCCAGTGTTGGCGCCACCTGGCGCCAGCGATCTTTTTGACACCGAATTCGATAGGAATGTGTCGGTGTGGCCGTCTATGAACCATTGTAATGTGTGAAAAGCAGAAAATTCCAAGAAAATTCTTAGAACAGAAGTTATGGCACACATTTTGGAAATCACGATCGCGCTAAAAAGTGGGCGTGATCGCAGAGGGCGGGGCATGAGATGGCATCCAATAGGGGCGAGAAAAGAGAAATTTTGCGAAATTTAACACAGCGGCAAAAAAAGTGGTCCACGAGGGACAATATGAGCCACCGGTGGCTCAAAGCGGACGCATGCGAAAGCACGCCATTGTCCCACGCGGCGCTTTCCCGCAAAACGCGATTGTCGTTAACGTGTTAAAGTGAAAAAGGTATCAAAAATGCGTTGGAGGTTGCGAAATGTTCCGTAGATGTCACCTCAGTGAAGACTTAGCATAAGCACAGATTTGTGCTACACTGGAGAGACTCTGTCCACAATGCAAATGGATTCAGAGAAAACAAATCGTAAAATCACAATTGTATCCCCTAGGGCACTCACTCGAAACGAAAACACTCGAATGTAAGCTTTTAATTTCTCTGCATAGAACACTAGGCAATGTAGTCTTATGACTTGATTTTGTATTCCAATATAAATTGTTGCTGGCCGGCTCTGTTGAACATGATTATGGGCACGCGATTTGAGGCCGAAACAAGCACTGCGTCGCGATAGGTTGGTGAGCAGAATCTGCAAAAGAGAATCAGTGAGTGGTAGGCAAACTATATTTTCGACCGCCAATTTACCGGTATCCAGTTCGAGTTTGATCGTCAGTGGTCTTGATTTCCACGCCTCCTAGAATGCAGCCGTCATGAGCGTAGCCGTGTGAAATAGATTTGACCGTAATTTCAATCTTCTTTCCTTCATCAGCCTGGAAAAGTCCAGATCCAACTCATGAACATGTTGCAACTGCCTTTCATCGCATACCTCAATCCAGTAGTTGCAGAACTCGAACTCGTCCCTCACACCACCAAAACCAAGTCTTTTGACGATGATCTGCTTGCGCTCTGTCGCTTTCAATGTATCTCCGCATCCGGGCGGCTACAAAATGCGGCATTACTGAAGGGTTCCTTCAACGCTCCCTCAGCTTACTCGTTTGTCGCAAAGAGTGCCACCATAGCCGCTTGGACAAATACATTCAGAGCAGTTTCGTGGATGAGGGAATCCTCCATTTTGACACTTCGCAGAAGGTCGCATTCGGGCACATTGCTGAACAGAGAAGTGGTCTAGCCCCTAGTAGACTAGTAGACTTAACACGGCTTTCCTACCCTTGCAATTGTAGTGATCGTTTATCATAGACTTATCAATGAATGAAAGGATCTGCGAGCCCATCGATTCCTGGTATCTTGTATCATTGGCTACCATTGTGGGTTTCTTGTTGTGAGAGGCGCTGAATCATCGGGTATTGTGTCACCCTAGTTCACAGAATGCTGTAATTCTATTCACCTGGCTGCTCCGTAATGCATAATGCTACCATAATCATAGGTAAATCCATAG